CCTCTGCACCCCCCGCCCCCACCACGCCTCCATCCTCTAAATCTTCCCTTTTGAGTTCCCTGCAGTCCTCCTGCCATTGCATTTATCCCTTCGTGGTTTCCTTTCTTCCTTTTGCTTTCCCCATACAAATAAAATGCTAATAAGCTAAAGTTGTTGGGGGTGGGTTTTCGCCCTTTTTGTCAAGCTTTTTAGCCCCGTTCTTTTTATAACCTCGGATCGTTGCGTCGGCACGTTATGAAATGCACTTAAAAGTCACTGTTAGTTTTTTTAATTAACCCTTTCATGCACCCTGGAACCTGATAATATGATAAGCTGCAGTGACCGCTGTCCCTGAATGGGTTAATATCCAAACGGAAACCATGACTTTTTGTTGTTGTTTTTTTTTTAAATCACATCTGACGTTTTTAAAAGAATTGATGGAAAAGGATTCAAGCGATGCGACTTCACCCCCTGCTGTGATGACGCCCCCCTCATCCGTCTATCTTTCCTCCCCAGTTCAGTTGTCTTGTCCCCCCCCTCACCGTGCAGATTTGACTTTCTTGTCAAGATTGACGCAAATTAGCAAAACGCCCAGCGCGACAACATTTAGGGCTTGCTGGTTGCGTGAAAATGTGGATTAGTATTCTTCTTATCAACACATTGTGAGACAGGCAGTCATCTTTTGTTCTTCTCTATTTGCTGTGGAAGAAAAAAAAACCACCCACGCATACACGCCAAAATCTTGTCCCAGCAAAAAATGAAACTCTTAAATCTCCCACTTCATATTTTGATATATTTTCAGTTCCTGCAGCCAGACTGGACAAGCGTCCCAATACATTTGTCAGACAATTTTTTTTTTTTTTTTTACTCACTGATGTCTCCCTTCGCCGTGTCCTCAATATGTTCCCTTGCCTCTAAGCCATCGACATCTCTCTGATCTTGTTTTTCTTGGTCCCATTATGCCGCCCCCCCCCCCCCCCCCCCCCCCCCCCCCACGTATCTGTCCCGCTCCGCCTTTAGTGCGCTCCCTTGTCTATCAATTCTTGTCTGGCCTCCACCGTGTGGTCGCTTGTGCCCCGAGGATCTCTGTTGCATGTGTCTGCTGGTGTGTTTTGACAGACAGGGCCTTGACCTTGTCCCGGGCCCTGCTGTTACACAGGCTGAGGGATGTGTCAACCTCATCCTCCATCACGTCTCCCCACGAGAACCCTCACTCAGAGACGCAGAAAGACCCGAAAAAAGGAAACATTGACATCTATGAAAAATGCACCAAAGTAAAGCTCCACAATCTTTTTTTTTGGGCCTTTTCCATAGAAGCACTCCAAAGCCATTGTTGCGAACGTAGCCTTACTTTTTTGTGGCAGTATCCAGTGCCTGAGACAAAGCGGTGTGATGTGTGCACGGATTGTGAAAATAATGACTTCCTCCAAACTCGAACGATCAATTCAATATTTTATTTATTTATTTATTTATTTATTTTTGCTCGGTCGCTCTGCGGCCCAGGATCAAATTGGTACCAGTCGCTCGACCCGCCCCGCCGCATGTGGAGTATATAAATAAACAAAGATGAATGAAACTGGCGTGTGTGTTTGTGAGGCTTTAGGTGACTCCCATCTGGTTCTACATTGATGTCCATATTAATAAGCATGTGTCGGGTTTTTTTTTTGTTAATTTTCCTTCCCAGTCCATGCAAATTCCAGTCAAATATATCTAAAAAAAAATACACATAATATTTCAAAGATGAAAATCGTAGTTTCTTGCATGTATTGCATTTGAGGAGGGACTGATAAGCTCCCAGAGTTGCTGTTTGGAGGTATCAGGTCCGCCAGGTTCTCAATAGGCCAGAGGTCACGGGATTTGAACACGAATGAGCACCTTTGTAAACAGCTGATCTGTAAAAGCATTTGCCCGACAGGAACTTTCCTGAATTCACCTTTCACTGAACAAAACCATTTACTCACTGAGTCACATGCAAATTATTTCACAAATGTGATGAGTTTTGAGGAACCATTTGATTTTTGCATTCTTTTTATGCGAGGTCATTAACTATTTCGTTCTTTTCATCTGCAGATCAGCACAACCTTATTGTTACCAATTATTCATACAGACCGGCATGTTAAATAATGTGGTGCAACGTTGTTGAAAATTGTATTATCAAAGCTATGAGAGATTTATATATATATATATACACACACAAGTGTGTGTGTGTGTGTGTACAAAGTACAACGGAACACCATAAAGTGTATATTCAGCGCAAGTTGTTCGGTCAATTTCATAATAACATAGGTTAACTTCTTTTTACACTTGTAAAATAGTTAGGCGTTGACCTTAGCGGCTTTATTTTCCCCCTTCTTACTTTTATTGAAGTAAATGCTAGCTACTAAAACATGAAATGATGGCAAACATTTTAAGGGCCAATCCATCTGCTTTTTTTTTTTTTTTTTTTTTTTTAAAATCCTCAAGGATACTGTTTTTAACAACTCTTCAGGGACTGTTTAATTTTTACCCCGAGAGTGATTGATGCTCCCTTTCCACTTTGTTGTTCTATGAAATGCGGTTACCTGACACAATTATGATCCCTGTCAACGCACGGAATGATTGCATCAATAAATCGGTGTTGGGCTGTGATATCAACCCCAAACTCCCGAGTGTTATAAAATGCATGACTTTGTTTTGTGTCATAGATTTTGTATGTATATTTGGAAGCATTTTGTTAGTTAGAAGCCTGTAACTTTCTGCGTTTTTTTTTTTCTTGGCCTGCTTTCTAGCCATTTTACTAATCCGCCCCCCCACAAAAAAAACACACATACAGGCCAGCCAGAATGTCTGCTCATCACTTCTTAATCTGGTTCTTCCAGTTTGTGTGTGTGTGTGTGTGCCCGCGCGCATCTGTGCAGCAGCCTGCTTTGGTTAAGCGACAACTTTAAATTTCCCTTGAAGCCAAAGAGGCCAGCCAGTCAGAATATATAAAGTTTGCTCATGTTTTGACCCCCCCCCCCCATGGTTGCGAGGCACTTGTGCGAAATGCATATCCCCGAATGTGTGTTCAACAATAGCATATCTATTCCATTCCAATCTGTGTGTGGGTGTGCATGTGTGGGTGTGGGTCTGACTTGGCTGAGTCAAATCAGACATTTCCCCTCATTCAGCCTCAGATCCATCTCTTGCAAATCAGTGCCATTGCACCGAGGGCGGGCTCTGTGTGACTCTTCTGTATCTTCCCATCACGACAGTCGACACTCTCATCTTTGCTTTCCCCTCATCTCACAGTTATTGCGCATCCCGTGTAAAAACGACAAGATAAACAGCGTCTGGTGCTTGTTCGTGTCTCCCGACTGGCACTGAGCGCTCTCTGATGTCTGTCTTTGTTTGGCTTTTTCAGGCAGTGCGGCTACAGCAAAGCCTCTCAAGAAGGAGACGAGGAACTTTACTTCCAGTGTAAGTGGCGCTTGTGCTTTTTCTCCTTTCACCGCCCATTCTGCGACGCGTGCGTGGTACACGCGCACAGCCACGTCGGCCTTTTAGCGCGACGGCATTCATTCTTGATTCCGACGCTTCCGCGCGCTTAGTTTAACTTTGAGCACGCCGAAAGAACAGATCAGGTGACGAATGTGATGGGCAGAGATGGAAAGAAGGAGAGCAAGAAATAAAGGGAGAAGGGGAAGGAAGGAAAGTCAAAAGTGAGAGATTGCGATTCCAAAAACAGGCTATTGTATATGTTTCTTGGGGGGGGGGCGGGGGGGACCTGCTCACTAAGCTCCCAGTGGGCTTTTTTTTTTTTTTTTTTGCTGGACAGTGACTGAATGGGGGTAGTCTGACATATCTCCTCCCGTTTGCGTGTGTGCATGGCAAAGCTTTGCTTAAGTGGTATTTGTGTGCCTCGACTTTTCCGTTTGTGTGCGCACACTTTTGTAAATGTAGTCCGTGTGTGCACGCTCATTTGCGTTATTTAATCTCCCAGCATGCCGAGCCCTCAGGAGAGGTTTCAGAGGACTGTGGTTGATGAATAATGAGCCAAAGCCATGCGGCTGGGAATTAAATCTGCCCAAACAAAAGACACGCCAGGAGCTGACGCACGTGCACACATTTGGCCTGCTTTTCAAAAAAAAAAAAAATTCTGGAGAACATGGACACACACACACACACACACACACACACACACACACACACACACACACACACACACGCACGCACTTAAATAGGCTCTAAGATGTATTTTTGTTCTCTTTAGCCAGCGCACACACTCCCCTGGACTCCCGTGGGCCCATTTCTGCCTCATGACTGAACATGCTGCATTGCAAGATTAAAGTTTCGATCGTCGCGCGGTGTGATCGTGTCGTCCACGCTTTTTCATCTCATCCCTTACCGAAACTACGCCACCCAAAGTATTGGGACACACCTAATCGTTCTGTTCAAAGCAAGGCTCGTATCGGCGAATTAAAAAAACAAAAAACAAAAAAAAACTTTTACAATTTAAAACTTGAAAAAAAATTTTTTAATTTGATTATTTAAAATTCAGGGTGAAAATAAATGCCTTGTTGCCGGGATTTTTTTTTTTTTTTTTTTTTTTGTCCATTGTGTGACCTAGAAAGCAACTGCAAGGCATTCGTCGTGGACATAGCCCGACCAAGATCAAGGCTCATCTGCAATCCGCTTTTAATAAACCAGGTTTAGATATTGTTCAAAACGATTGCATGGGGGGGGGGGGAGATGCAAGAACTACAGAGAGGCAAAGCATCTGGGGAAATCATTGGGAAAATAGAATCAAGATAGCCAGGCATGATAAGGCTATTGCGTTTTGGCTGTTTTGTCGAGAACAGCCATTGGCCCCTGGTGGCCCGCGGGCTGCATATGCAGCATCTCTGTGTGCCCTCGAGTAGATGAATGCAATGTGAATTAGGTCCAACTTGTGATGATTTGAATCAAATGCTGCCCGCAGATATTGCCGCGCGTTGGCCATGTGCAGCTCGGCCGGGGACGATGCCCATCGGTTTCAGAGGCTAGGTACCCGTTGGCCTAAAGTGGTCCGTGGTGGCGCTCAGGCCGGGTCGCTGAAGCGATTCACTGTACTTGGCCCATTTTGTGTCGACAATGGCTGACTAAAGCGCACCAAATTCCCAAGAGCTGACAAAGTGGATACGGATAAAACAAATTAGAAACAATAATTCATACCTTTCTCACATCTCGGTTGGATTACTGGAATGCGCTTTACTTTGGAGTCAGCCAATCCTCCATTAAGCGTCTCCAGTCGGCCCAAAATACTGCAGGCTCGCCTCTTGACTGGTACTCGTAAGAGGGAGCACATAACTCCTTCTCTGGCATTCTGTCACTGCCTTCCTATCCATTTTAGAGTTCTTTTTAAGATTCTATTATTTCTTTTCAAATCTTGAAAGGCCTTTTTTTTCTTTGACTTTTGACTCAGCATGAGACTTGATTGTTAGTTTGACTGTTTTTGTGCTTTCTACTGTCTTTGACATTAATTTATTGTTTTATTTTTTTGTTGCATTGAATTAGTTTTTTGCTCCACTTTGTATACAGCGGTGGTTGTTTTGAAGTGCCCTATAAATACAGTCGAGTCGAGATTATCATTGGTATTAAATCCCGAAAAATATTTGCTGTCCTACGTATATTCAGGATTTACAGCCGGGGTATGCTGACCCCCTCCGTCACTCCTGGCAGTGCGGTTTTAAATCCTGAAAAATATTTGCTGTCCTACGTATATTCAGGACTTACACAGCTGGGGTATGCTGACCCCCTCCGTCACTCCTGGCAGTGACACAGTTAACCCCGAGACTAATCAGCCAAGAAAGGCAACGAAGCATGCATGTGTCGGGGTTACGTCTCTGAAGGTTCGGCGCCATTCCCAGGCTTATGTTTCACGCGGCACATGGACAGCATCCCCTCTAGGTGTTAAGGTAGCCGTGTTTGAAAACCCAATTTGACAGAAAAGAGCCTTCAATCTTTCTCTCATCTCTTACTTTTTAAATTGAAAGGGTTTCCTTCGCTCTATCATAGACAGCGTCGATCGATTTGTCCGTGTGCTCACAAGCATATTTGTGAGTGTGGCATATACGCAGGTGTGTGTGTTTGCGTGCGCGTGCCGGATCAATAAGCCGTTATGAGGCCACCAGTATAGGATCCCTCAGGTCGATCCAGAGCTGTAATCACTTTTCAAAGCCCCTGTCAAGCTTTTGGAAACTACCTGGCCTTTTCCTGGAAGATTATCTTTAACATGCGGTAACAAAGGTCATCTAATTGAGAGCTACTCTCTGCTGGTTAATGGCTATCGGCTACGCACCGGCCACTTTATTTGCCGGTTGTTAGTGCTCGGTAAACACAACGGGCAGTTGATAAAGGGAACGAGAGTGCGGCTGCGAAAATGGGGTTGGTGTTTTGGGTTCGCGCGGGGGGCAGAGAAACGGTCGGGGTCAGTCGTAGCGCTCCAATTACCTGCAAAAATGTTTGGTCGTCTCATTAACTTCACAGCGGCTCTGTTGAGGTCCTAGAGTGAAATTATTCGAGGTGATTGGATGTGATTACGGGTTTCGACAGGAAGCGTCTTATTTTGAATTTTGGCCCATGATTGCCGAAAAATACTCCATCGTGGGCTTTTTAAAAAAAATATCATCATGTCACGACAGGGTTTTGTTTAGAAGATTTTTCTGCTGACATTCATTCCCGCACTGTCATTAAGCAGCTGTTTTGTCCCCTTTCTCACCGAAGATGTTGCATTTATGTAATTTTCCAAGCGTTGTGTGTGTGTTAGTCCGAGTGAAAAGACAAAAAGGCCGGTCTGCCATGTCTCTAAAGCCGTGTGGAAGGAACCCAAAGTCAGATTTAAGCAGTCTGAGCCTTTCATCTTGCCACCTCCAGAGTTTGGCAAGGTCAAATCAGAAGATTTGTGAAAAAAAAAAAATGTTGACATGTTATTGAGAAATACAGTTTCAACCAACGGAAAGTGTAATGAGGGGATGGTTTTCTCTTGTCCGTTATTCATTTACTGACGCCAAAATCTAAAAAAAATAAAAAAAAAATTCACTGTTAGGTGTATCATAATTCTATGGGCTACAATGAAACAGGGGGGGAAAAAAATCAAGAGTTGGCAGGAATATACATGCTGATGTGTTTTTTTTTTTTGTTTGTTTGTTTTTTTTTAAATATTTATTCAGTCAAAATTCCCACACGGAGAACCTACATCGACCCAGAGACGTGTGAGGACCTGCTGCAGGCTATTCACGCTTTTGCCAAGGAGTTGGACAACTCCAGCATCAAGATTGAGAGAATTGTGCACACAGGTAATGACCGAAGAAAAAGTACACGACTTTCGCAGTATCGACACTGTCTACTGATTACAAACAAAAAGCTTTGAATTCTACATTGAGAGCAACTTGACCTTTTTCTCATAAGATTGTTCACAGCAGCAAAGTGCTCAATCAAATCAAATCATTTCTTCTCACAAACGTATGCTAGCTGAATGCTAACACATTTTGTGGAATGCCATAGACAGGCTAAGCTAATATAACTTAGCATGGATGCTAAAAGTAAATATTAACCTTCAATATTGTCCTCTGTTTGTCTTTCTCTCCCGAAAAGGCGACTTTGGGGAGGTGTGTCGTGGCTGTCTCAAGCTGCCCAGCAAGAGAGAGCTGCCGGTGGCCATCAAAACGTTACGAGCGGGCTGCTCAGAGCA